GTAATAGCTCAAGTGAATATCGAGCGGCGACGAAATCTAAATGCCCTGGTTCCCGTCCCGTCTTCGGTCTGATTTTTTTTCCTTTTTTTAAAGTTACCTTCTTTTGTGAGAAATTCTATTATTTTGAGCCTTTTTTAGTATTTTTTAAAAATTGGAAAATTTTAATTAAACTAATTACACTCATGATTTTTTATTCAAATAACCAGTTCAGTTTTTTCTATTATGTCAATAAGATCAAAAAACATTATTCATCAGTATGTAATTTGTATCTAAATGTAATTTCAAAATAAAACCGAGCAAAGCTTGGTCATCCGGGTACTTTTTTTTAGTGTTACCTCGTTGTTAATTGTTGTTTGTGCATTTCTTGTTTTTAACTGTTTTTGATATTTCTTGTTGTTAATTTTTTTTTTGTTATAAATTAAGCATTCGGATTTTGGTCTAAATATGCAGAGAAGAAAGAATTCGGTGTTAAATAGACAATCCCGACAAATGGTCTGTTCAGTGTCTTGTTACATGAAATAATTAGGTATTGCGAAAAAAATGATAGACGTTTATAAACAGACTGCTGAGGCGACTAATGTCTACGTAGCTACTGTACGGCGTATAGTTAAAGGAATTAACGACTCGGAATTTCGAAAAAAGTCAGCGAAAATATTCAATTATGAATTGAAATAACAACAGTACCTAATAATTTTGGCCGACAGTGTACCTACGCTGGCTCAACAGCCACACTATGGTTCATCGGTGCTCACGTATCGTGCCGGCAACTACACACATATCAATAACATCTATTAAGTGTTTTTTGGACTTTACGCAGTTATATTCTTCAAACAGAGTTTTCGACAATGGTCCCATAATTTCTACAGCTAAATATTATGATAACCGCCGAGTCGTAAGAGCTTCGAACCATAGCCGAACTCTCTTTATTTTAGGGCCGTATTCGATAAGAATTGCCGCCTGTAATTTAAAAAGCATTATTTAGAACAAACAATAAAGTACATTATAATTCTTTTACCGTCTTATACGAAAGGAGGTTTAACGATAGCCTAGGGCTTAAACTATAGTAGAACTACTTCCAAAAAAGAAGTCCTTTAGTATTGGCGCCATGTTTTTTTTTATAAAATAAGGGTGACCAACGAGCACACAGTCCACCTGATGGTAAGTGGATGTTGTAGCCCAAAGACGTCTACAGTTATCCCCGATTAATAACAAAAATTCAGATTGATGTAAGCTCTTTCTGTTCTCTCTTGTCTGACTTAATAAATAACCTTAACTTGTACTTATATTACTTAAGTTGCATACGATATGTACGGTATATTACGGTACGGTATATACGGTGTGTTTCTAGAGTAAAGTGTTTCATACAAAATCAAGAGTCCAGACGTCACAATGCGTTGCATACGTTCTTACGTAGGACCAGTCTGTCTCTATCTTAAAGCGAGATACAGATTTGGTCCCACGTACACGTACGCAACGTATGCGATGCAACGTTCCTTTGGTGTCGGACATTCTTGTAACTTCTTAGCGGACGCGCGAGTACAAATTTATACCATGTTTTCTGATTCTGGGAGTGAATTAATATATTAATATTTACAGAATTAATAATAATGATATACTTTGTCTGATGTTCATAAACGATCTAAGCCACATATATATAATCAAAGACCAGCTGCTACTCGAGAACCAGAAAAGTTCTCAATCAGTTGTCGGTTCTTCGAGCTATATGGCATGCCTATTGCAACTTCAGCTTACAAATCCGTTGCACTATATCGGGTACTCCGGTATACTCTGGTTCTAATGAATATTTATATATAATGAAAATTTGATGTATGTTCACAAAAATAAAGGTAGTTTTAGTAAAAAAAGTGACATACACTCTGTAAACACTAGGAACAAACACAAGCTGATGCTACCAGTTTCTCAACTCCAAAGAGTAAGTAGGTAATTCATTCTTAAGGCAATGTATAATATGCTATTACAACAAAGTCCCAGAAAATATACAAGGTCTCTCTATTACCAAGTTTAAATATTTAATTAAACAAAAAATGTATAAAAAGGGTTATTATGATATAAATGAATACATGGTTGATAACCCCTGGGAATAAGGTGGTCGCTTCCAAGCTGTTTCTAAAATAAATTTTGTAAATATTTTGTGACTGTGTGTGAATAAATTTTACAATGTCAAGGACATTGTAATTTTTTTTTAAATAAAGTCCCGCTGGGTTTCTTGCTGGTTCTTCCCATGACAGAGGTTTTTTTTTCGAACCAGTGGTAACGTAAAATATTGACTTTCAATAAGAATTACTTGTAATCTATATTGAATAAAAAATTATTTTATTTTATTTATTTTTAATGCGGATATCCTCATTTTTAAGTATATCATGTAGAGAAAACCCGAACTCCATAGACGAAGTGTAGGGCGTTCCCCTATTATATGGAGGGACAACAAACATGCATTAATTCCCGGTAAAACATGCATAAAGTCGATGGATGCAGGTGGCTGAGGACCGTACTTTGTGCCTGTGTTCAGCAATGGACTTGTGAAGGGCTGTAATAATGGTATTGATGATGATATATTGGTTTTTATAATCAAGTCTATTTATTAAGCTTACCTGTCTGTAGCAAGCTCGGGCAAGACCAATACGGGCACGTTGGCCTCCACTCAAACTGATGCCACGTTCACCCACCATCGTTGCGTCACCAGCCGGCAGCAACTCAAAATCACGAAGTAATGCACATGCGGAAACTACCTATTGACAATTTTACATCGCCTATCAACTTACAATAATAATTACATCAAATGCACAAAAGCACAAAAATGCGAAAAAGTATAACCATACGAGTAGAACATTAAATTAAAAAATTATAAAGGTCGGGGAAAATTATATTCGTTTTTGGTATAGGATAAGGGTTAGAAACGAGCACACAGTCCACCTCATGGTAAGTGCTTGCTACAGCCCATAGACATCTACGTCTATCCTCGATAACGAATCAAAACGCAGATGCGTTGTCACCCATGAGAACTAAGATGGAATGCCTCTCTTTCAGTAAAAAGATTCTCCGGTTCTATACGCTCATCATACGAAACGCAGCAGCGTTAAGCTGCTATTTTACGCTGGTATTCTGTGAGAGTGTGGTCCTTTCTCGGTCGAGCCGACCGATTCGTGCTACAACTATACTTCTAATATAGCTGCAGCATAGCTCTACCACGTACCACGTAAAAATCGTATTTTGTTTGTTTGAAATTAAGGAAAAATCTCTTTAGTTGTGCTATTTGTATCTGGCTGGTTTTAATATCAATACATAAATGACATTAAGGAAAGAAAAATAAAATGTAAAAAACACTTTCCCGTCATTTTTCAATTATTTTTTGTTCGCCAAAGTGAGTGAATCTAACGAAGAAATTAAATTTTACTAAAAAAACGACAAATGCGACTCAATTTGCGAAAAAAATTGTGACGTGTATGGACCCAATGCAGTGTCAGTAAGAGTGGCACAAAATTGGTTCAAGCGTTTTTAGTCCGGGAATTTTGATGTCACAGATGCAGCTCGCTCTGGTCGCCTTCATTCTGATAAAGTCGATACCATTTTTTAAAAAGTGGAGCAAAATCGGCACATTAATAGTTACCTACGAAATAGTCGAGAAATTGAGGATTGACTACAAAACAGTTTTGACCCATTTGAAAAAGTCCGGCTATATAAAAAAGCTCGATATTTGTGTACCATATGAGCTCACTGAAAGAAATCTAATAAATCGTGTACGTGTGAAACGTAATGAAACTGAATTATTTTGAGATTGATCACTGGTGATGAAAAGTGGATCACCTACGACAAAAACGTGCGAAAAAGATCATGATCAAATGGTAGCACGCAATAAGGTGAAGCTGTGTGAATCGTGGGATTGGAAAGGAATCGTTTATTATGAGCTCTTACCGCCGGGCAAAATCAACGATTCCGATCTCTACTGCCAACAACTAATGAGACTCAAGCAAGAAATTGAGAAAAAAAAACCGCACACATATTTGGCCACTCAGGAAACATTGAGAGAGCTTGGTTAGGAAGTGTTAATGCATCCATCATATAGTCATGACCTTGCACCCTCAGATTTTCACCCGTTTCGGTCTCTTCAGAATTATTGGGGTAGTGTTAGATTAACATCTATGGAGGGCTGCTTAACTACTTGTTGCATTTTTTGATCAAAAATCCCAAAATTTCTACAGCAACGGGATTATGTCACTACTTACAAGATGGCATTAAGTTGTCGAACAAAATGGCACATAATATATATTATAATTAAATGTAATTCAACTTTGAAAAAACTGTCTTGAATATGTATATAAAATACGAAGAAACTTTTTCCCCGACCGAATATTAATCATTCATTTAAAAAAGTTCTACAGTTAACATAAATGAAACATAATTATGTTAACTGTAGGTTTTTTAATCCGTCAATAAAATTATTCATCACATGTTTGTTTATATTATTAAGCCACAAAAAAAAAGGTTTTTTCTTTTAAAAATCTGAATTTCATTTAATTTGATTACTATCCTTATGCAGTATGATAATATTATTTGACACAGTATTTATTAAGCTAATTGCAATACTTTTTAATTTAGATGTCAGCCAATATATTAAACGGGAAAAATATTTAGTGATTGTAATTTAAATATATTAAATTAATTTTTGAAACATAGTATTTACCTTAAAATAATTATGTGTATTAAGAGCGAAGGACATAAAGTAAAACGAGGGTTAATTAATTTTATTAAAAAATTAAATTGATTTAACCCTTATTAAAATAAAGATATAATGCTTACCACTTCAGTTTTTTGTTTAAAAAAGTATTTTTCTTGCACCGGCAACATTTGAATTTGATAATAAGTAAAACGTTGTCATTTTTTAAATCCAACTACTGGCAGCATTTTATTCATAAACGTCCAAACAATCGTCACAAACGTCCCGTCCATAAGGTTGAAATTTTTTTTGATCGTGTGAAGTTATGGGTAATAGTGGTAAATTTCGTGTCTAACTGTAAATTGGATTTACTAATATAAAAATAATATGTATTTTTTTGGTTGTGAATGATGCATATTTTTAAATTTGCTTAGTTTTGCTTATTTCAGTGATCTACATTCAACATGGCGGAAAAGAAGTGTCGAAGAAGAGTGACTCCAAAACACTCGAAATAATAGTGAATAATCTAGACAAATTATCGGATTTATCTGACTATGATGACGAAGATGATCCGCTTTATGGAGATAATGTAAGTAGTCCTTCAGACTCTTATCAATTTCTATCACGGGAAAATCTCATCGAAAGGCGCCTGGAAGAGATATTTAGGATAGATTCGGGGGATGAAATAAATATTAAAGATGGTGAGGCAACGGGGCAAACAGAAGAAGCTCTTTTAAAAGTTTTAGAATGTAATCCATCGACAAGTACACATACAACTGTCTCTAATAACTTGATTCCATGCGACAACCACCAACCAACGAAAAGGTTATGTCAAAATTCTTCTGGCCAAATCCAAAGCAGTTCGCTCTCAGAAGATCATATAGACCAACTTACTTCAACTCAACGAAGTTGCTCTGCCGCAACGTTATCCTCTTTTATAGAAATGCAAATGCAACAGCCAATAAACAGAGATCCTCTTACCTTTACTCGGCCTTGCTCTACAACTCCGTCTTCTGACATTCAAGAGCCGATTGACGAGTCCCTATTTAACACGACACAACGTCGGTCTACATCGCCATCCTCTTTTACAGAGGAGCAAATCAATCATTCGCTGAAGCTGGTAATCAGCAGAGACCTACTCATCTCGACACAACGAAGTCGCTCAGCAAGTTTATCATCATTCGCTGTAGACCAAAATTTGTCACAGACTGAAGAAGACCCAGTCATTGCCAGCCAATCAGCTCTTATGGATGTAGACTGACCTGCTATAATTGCACAAAATGCACCTGTGCGCTCTTTATCAAACAGTCTCAATCGATCACTTTCTCAAACTATACGGAGCGCCCGTTCTACACCCCGAGAACGGAAAACTGTGCGTGAAACCCATAATATTCCTTCCTTTGATAAAAATGCCGAACCCCGCTCGCAATATACACATAAAACACAACCAATTGAAGTCTTTGAAACGTTTTTTCCCGAATATATCCTTGAAGTTATTGTAGAACAAAAGTTGAAGTTATTGTAGTAACTGGAGCCAATTAACCAGAGAAGAAATCAAGGCCTATTTAGGAGTTTTAATAATGATGGGACTGAACCCACTTCCAGATATGGAACTACATTGGGCAAGTGACACATTTTATAACAACCCTGAAATATCTCGAGTATTCACTCTGACACGATTTAAGAAAATAATGGAAAACTTGCATCTAAACGATAACGAAATGGAGCCTCCAAGGGGTTCTCCTGGACATGATAAATTTTATAAATTGAGGCCAATGATAACTGCTTTGAACGAAGTATTTATGAATGAAATGAATGACTCGAGCCGACAATCCATTGATGAGTATATGGTTAAAGGAGACAATCATTTTTGGGCCCACTAGAAATATTAACGTCGTTTAATGGTATTTACACCAAAAAAAGACATCAAATTATAATAGTAAATGGCCTATAGATTTTTCGAAAATGTAAACGGAAACAAGAAATCTGAAAAAAAAATTAGTTGTTTTGACATTCGTGTTCAGATCATTGGCTAAGCTAATGTAATATTTAAAAAATTATTGTCTTAGAGATGTGCCGTGATATCTCGGAAAAAATCGACTCGAGTTGAAATTCAGGTAACTCGATTTTGAGCTCGAGTTACGCAATTCAAATTAGATGAACGAAGCTGTGTCAATATGTCACAAATTATTTTTATAATTGTTCTTCCATACAACACAATTATTATTACTACACTTAATAGGTAGTTATATATTGTTTTTGGTATACGTATCGACAATCTTCATAAAATAATATCACTCTAACGTTATGACGTAAATCTTAATGTTATTAATAATTTGACTATCCAAAGTATATACAGTGTGTCCGGTCACGGACTAGCGATATTTTAGGTACTTATAATACAGCTATTTTAATATAAAAATACACTACACATTGAGGTCTAATCCCCTCCCCCTCTATTTGGCAGCCATTTTGTTTTTCTCTTGAGATATTCTCTACGCGTTTACGAAAAAAGTCATATCTCTGAAAGTTTTAGTCTTACTGAGATAAAAATTAACTCATTCGGAGGCCAATAATATTGTTTATCGTTTACATTATCAAAATTTTTGTTGACATACTTGTAACTTTGAAGAAAAAAAATTTACTTCAAATAAATATCAAAAAAATATGCTAATCGGCAAATTATTGTAAATTACTGCAAAAACAACCCCGTACACCCTTTTTATTTTTATACTAGATCGACAGATTTTGAGTTAAGCTACAATACAACATAAAGTTTACAGCTGTATCTTTATTACTTTAAGAATTATTGTTGTTTGAATATAGCATATACGCAAACACAAAAGGCCTTTGTTAAGTGACAACTGGCACTGCCTGCCTAGGAGTAATAGTAATCTGAGATTACTTATGATCTTCGATGAATTAGAGATCAGAGAATCAGAATCATCATTTATAAGTAGTATAATTTGAGAGCAGGCAGCACAGAACACTATTACTCCTAGGCAGGCAGTGCCAGTTGTCACTTAACAAAGGCCTTTTGTGTTTGGGCATACGCCATGTTCAAACAACAATAATTCTTAAAGTAATAAACATACAGCTGTAAACTTTATGTTGCATTGTAGCTTAACTCAAAATCTGTCGATCTAGTATAAAAATAAGAAGGGTGAACGGGATTGTTTTTGCAGTAATTTACAATAATTTGCCGATTAGCATATTTTTTTGATATTTATTTGAAGTAAAATTTGTTTTCTTCAAAGTTACAAGTATGTCAACAAAAATTTTGATAATGTAAACGATAAGCAATATTATTGGCCTCCGAATGAGTTAATTTTTATCTCAGTAGGACTAAAACTTTGAGAGATATGACTTTTTCGTAAAAGCGTAGAGAATATCTCAAGAGAAAAACAAAATGGCTGCCAAATAGAGGGGGAGGGGATTAGACCTCAATGTGTAGTGTATATTTATATTAAAATAGCTGTATTATAAGTACCTAAAATATCGCTAGTCCGTGACCGGACACACTGTATAATCAATTTATATTATATATAACATAAATTGATATATTATAAACATATTACCTAATATCAATTTATTTATTACATAATATATCAATAAATTGCTCGAATTAGTAAGTCGATTTCATCACTAAATTGTAGACAAACACTGCATTGACCGTAAGGTAAAGATGTGACTTGAGTAGAATTTTGTGACTCGAGCCACTCGGGTTAATTTGTGTGATAATGACATTCATTCATTCTAGTTGTACACTAGTTTTTGAGTAAATCAACTATTTACAGAAAAGTTTATCACTAGAGTTGAGAGCAGCGATTACTTTAGTTAAACCTTTTTTAAATATGTACCTTAATAAATAACCAATAACAGTGGTAGAGCCACGCGGCAGCTTTGCTGTTGCACGTATGGGCCGGCTCAAACCGGGGTGGTACCACGACCTCACAGAATACCGGCGTGAAGTGGAAGCTCTGCTTCCGCGTTTCAACTGGTGAGTGCAGGTGGCCGGAGGCCCAAATCCCCCCCCCCTCCTATCAACATGGTAGCGGAATTAAATGATGATAGACTACCCCAGGAGGTTTCCAGCACCGCAGGAGAATCCCTCGCTGAGCACCCACGATCATGTTTCTCCACTTCTGAGCGTGGGTGCTCAGGCTGCCTCGCGTATTCTGGGGGGGGGGGGAGGGAATTCCGCTCAAGACTACAACTACTCGGGGCAAACGGAGCAACAAAACCAAGGCGACCCCTGACACGCTGTCCGTGAATTTCTGCAATATCAGGGGACTTCACTCTAACCTAAACGCCGTCCACTACCATCTCGAGACGGCGAGGCCGGCTCTGCTCTTTCTGATCGAGACGCAGGTGTCCTCTCCGACTGATGTCTCGTATTTCTCCTAGTCGGGGTACAAACTGGAACACTCCTTTGTGCCTCGGGCTGGAGTTTGCGTTTACGTCAGAGAGAACATCTGTTCTCGACGCCTCGGTAGACTTGAAGGTTCGGACCTATCCATCCTTTGGCTACGCGTAGACAGCAACGACCATCCGCGCTTCTACGGGTGCCTCTATAGGTCCCATATCGGTAATGCCGAAACAGACCGACTCTTCGACCACGTCCAAATGGCTACAGATTCGTTGCTACAGCAGATCCCCTCCGCAGAGATCGTGATCCTCGGCGACTTTAACGCCCATCACGCCGAATGGCTTAGTTCACGTATAACCGATCATGCGGGGAGATCTGTTCATGATTTTGCCTTGGCATATGGTCTGACACAACTGGTTACTTCGCCTACGCGGATTCCAGATGTGGAGGATCATGCACCTTCCCTATTGGACCTTCTGCTGACCTCTCACCGGACGGATATCAGATTTCCGTAGACGCCCCTTTTAGGCTCCTCGGACCATTGTCTTGTTCGGAGTGTGGTGCCACTCACGCTGAAATCGCAGTTGCAATCTGCAGGCTGCCGCCGTGTTTGGCACTACTTGACTTGACACTCAGCCGATTGGGATGGGATGCGGTCTTTCTTTGCATCCTACCCTTGGGGGCGGGTTTGCTTCTCGCCGGACGATCCCAACATTGTTGCGGATTCTGTCACTGATGTGGTACTTCAGGGTATGGAACTTTTTATTCCTTCCTCTGTGGTGCCCATTGGAGGCAAATCGCAGCCATGGTTTGGTCGCTCCTGTAAAATAGCATCATGCTACAAGCAGGAGTGCTACCAAGCCTTGGCTGACGCATCAGCGTTCCGTGATGTAAACACCAGCGTTCTGAAAAACAAGTATAATTTCGCCTCTAGGTCCTTCAAAAGAGTCAATGCCTAGGCAAAGTCAGAGCACATAGGCAGAATTGGGGAGAAACTAGTCCGCCTTCCTTCTGGAACCCGTGCATTCTGGTCTCTAGCCAAGGATGTCCAGGGGAATTTCTGTCAGCCATCTTTTCCATCTCTGCACAGGGAGGACGACTCACTGGCCCATACCGCAAAGGAGAAAGCCGATCTTCTAGGCTCTTTCTTTGCGTCCAACTCGACTCTCGATGACGGGGGGAGTACGCCGCCGACCATCCCGCGGTGTGAGTGCTCCATGCCGGAAGTGCAATTCACACAGCGCTCGGTTCGCAAAGCACTCCTCTCCCTGGACATCCACAAGTCGAGTGGGCCTGACGGAATCCCCCCAATTGTGCTGAGGACGTGTGCTCCAGAGTTGGCACCGGTTTTAACGCGTCTTTTCTGGTACTCCTACTCCCTAGGCGTAGTCCCAAAATCATGGAAGACGGCTTTCGTCCACCCGATCCCTAAAAAAGGCGACCGCTCAGACGCGTCCAACTACCGGCCTATCGCCATCACCTCCTTGTTCTCCAAAACAATGGAGTCCATTGTAAACTGCCGGCTCATGCGGTACCTTGAGGATCACCAGCTGATTAGTGACCGCCAATACGGTTTTCGCCGTGGTCGGTCAACTAGTGATCTTCTGGGCTACCTAACTCACATATGGGCGGAGGCAGTAGAGTCAAAGGGGGAGGCATTGGCCGTTAGTTTGGACATTGCGAAGGCCTTCGATCGCGTTTGGCACAAAGCGCTTCTTTCGAAGCTCCCTTCCTATGGGCTTCCCGAGAAATTGTGCGATTGGATCACCAGCTTTCTTGCAGATCGGGGCATCAAGGTCGTTGTAGACGGTGCAAGCTCCGATTGCAAGTCTATTAATGCCTGGTGTTCCACAAGGCTGCGTGCTATCACCAACGCTGTTTCTTCTGCATAT